TCCTGGACCTCCTCCAGGGGGCTGTCCTGGCTCAACGCAATTCTTTTGAACAGTTCTTGAAACTGTTTGAAATCATATGCTATGGTAGTAGGTGGTGGCATAATGGCTTCCATCTGGTGATGAAGAGGAATTGTGAGCTGGTGATGTGGGCTCTTATTCAGTGTCCTCCTCCCCCCTCCTCTCCTGTATCCTCCTGGGCTACTGAGGTTTGTGGACTGGGGGATGGTGGAGGTGATCTGAGTTCGCCTCTAGGTGGAGATAAGGGTCTGATATAATGAGCCCCGTATGCCGCCTATGGGGCCCAGGGTGGCCACTGCATGGGGACTGGCATGGGGGACACATCCAGGGTTGTCCATACCATGGATGGACTGCCTGCCTACGCTGGGTTTTAGACTGTAAAGGGTCCCCCTGGTAGTCTGCATTCTGTAAGGGAGGAATGCTGCGATTAAAAGGCATCCTCCTCCTCTTCATCATTCTCTTCATCGCTAAGCATTGATGGTGCAATAAGGGATGTAGGCTGGTCTGTGTCAATGCATTCTGGAGAGCCATCAGTACCAAAGAGACTGAAATGTCTGTTTGAGAAATTGTTGTGGTGCCATTGCTTGCAGTACTGGTGGTACTGATGATGTAGTCTTAGATGGAGCCGTACAGTGAGCCAGTATCTTGCGGCTTGATTTAGCCGATGCGGACGGCAGCATCTTGACTCTGTCCATCAGTGCTGACAAAGTAGACGGTGCCAGTGGTGGCCGCATGACCGTCAGTGAGGGTCTCCGCGCAGTTTCTTGCACCATTGTGGTCGGTGCTGTGGAGGAGGCATGTCTATGTTTATGCCTTGATTCCGTGTCTCTCGCTTTAGGCTCAGCAGAGGTCTCGGTACAGACGGTGCTGGAGGTGCCCTGTGCCTCAAAGGTGCTCACCCGTGTGGTGGTCAGCACCAAGGACAGCGACCTGGCAGGAGACAGTCTCTCTTTTTGTGGTTCTCTCTGTGGAGAGGTCGATACTCTTCTTTGAAACTCTCGAGGATTGAGCCTTGTCTTTAGTCTATTCCAAAGAGGACGGGGAGGTCTGTTGTCCCAGTTCGGTTGGAGCGATTTCTCCTTAAGAAGCAGTTTGAGGTTGAAATCATGTTCACGCCTGGTTCTCGCTTTCAGACTACTACAGTGAGCGAACTTTTGAGGGCTGTGCCACTCACCGAGACATCGGAAACACAAGGAGTGTCCATTGGAGACCGGCATCGCTTTGCGGCAGGGGCCACATCATCTCTTAAAGCCTGAGGAACCAGGCATCGTTGAGGCAGTTGAGTGTTCCCAGGGGAACAACAATGAAGTAAGAAAAAAAAATTTTTTTTAAACTAACCAACCTCTTATGAAGTATTCAACTAAACTATTTCTTGTAGAAGATGACATTGGAGCACTTCCCCAGAGTTCTGTCTCAGGCTGAGAACGGTTAAGAAGGAACTGAGGGAGTCAGGTCGTACACTAGTCAAGGTGCCAACAGCACCACGAAATGACTACTACGCACGCATGGCCCTGAAAGACACTGCTGCCGAAAATCTCCGATTGACGGTGCTGGGCCTCACTGACACCTGAAGTGGAGCACCCATAGGGAAATCAAGGGAGGAAATGCAAATGTTCTTCGAGTGAAGTGATTTTAAACAGCACAACCTTAATGCTGCACTATCAGTCTCTTGCACTCAATAAATATAGGCTGAGGCTACATCTACACTACGGGGGGGGGGGGGGGGGGGGGGGGGGGGGGGGTCGGATTTAAGATACGCAAATTCACGTAGCTGAATTTGACTTATCGCAGCCGACTTACCCCGCTGTAGGGACGGCGGCAAAATCGACCTCTGCGGCTTCCCGTCGACAGCGCTTACTCCCACCTCCGCTGGTGGAGTAAGAGCGTCGATTCGGGGATCGATTGTCGCGTCATAAATCGATCCCCGAGAGGTCGATTTCTACCTGCCGATTCAGGCGAGTAGTGTAGACCCAGCCTAACAGTCTGCTTGTAGCGGCCGTCACCAAGAGGTAAGGTTTAAGTGCCTGAAGGCATGGAAGACACTGATTGGCAGAAGGAATGAAAACAAAGCCATGTCATAGTCATGGCCTGTAAGTTGCCATCTTCTTTTGTCCTTGCCAGCTGGAAAATTTGGGACAAGCAGAGGAGAACTGGTTATGCTAAAAGGATCAAAGAAAGGCAGACAATATTTAGAACTGCCTGGAGTGTTCAGTATCTAAGCGCAGTGAAATAGGCTGAGGGCACACTGAAATAATGAGATACAAGAGGTACCATGAATGGAAAAAAACAAAGGGCTGGGATAGATCATTACGCAAGGAGAGGGAGTGGAGGTAGCTGCTGAGAGCCAAGATCAAGAGTCGCATCTGAAAAGTGTGATGTCATTGATTGTAAAGGCTCCATAATGCTCTTCTCAGAGCCTCAAGGGTGTTCCCCCCCCTCACCTACGTAAAGACCTTCTCTCCTTCCCACCGATGGGAACCTGATAACACTCCCTTTGGAGCCAATCAGCCCAAACTGAGTCACTGAAGAGTGGTGCAAAGATGCCTCCTACCCCTGCTGATCTGAGACTCAATTTCACACACTGGTCCTAAATAAGCCTAATTCTCCCTGCTTGGTAACATAAAAAACCCTCAAAGGCAGGCTGGCGATGGGCTTCAAGAGCTCTGAGAACAACTTAGCAACTTTTATAAAGCATATCTGCTACCAGTTTGTTTGGTGGAAGATTAAGTTACAAAAATAGTAAGTCTCCTCCTGTCCTTTCTGTAGCTTAGCCACCTCCTACTCTCATCCTCCTCTCCTTCCTTAGGCAGCACAGAGGGATCAGATCCTGCCGGCTCTGGAGTTGAGGGACTGTGTAACTGAAGTACAGGAATGAGACAAGAAAGAATACGTTCAGTGGGACAGACTGATTAACAGAGGGAGGAAGTCTGGGTACTGTACTATGTATTAGACAGCTGCCTTCACCTGAGGGACACGTCTCCTGCTCCCCCTTAAGCCACTATGTTCTTATTCTCTTTCTTTGATGGCTCTTGCCCAGCTGGGTCCCTCTGCGTGATAGCAGGGAAGGAGGACTTATCAGAAGCCAGCTCTTTGAAGCAATGTGCAAGAACAGGATTTCAGTACATTTCACTTGACTGCCCTGGAACACACATGCAGCAGAGCAGAGCAGCAAGAGAGAGAACGCATGGGAAAAGCGAAACAGACAGGCATGGCAATGGAAGGACAGGAGAGAACGCTTTAAAAATATGTACATAGCAAAGTATTACTGTACTTATGAAAGTACAATAGCCATACTCGCATACTGCTGACATTTGACACCCTGGAAAATAGCAACCTTTGAACTGGTGTGATGTCTTGGTACCTGCAGAGTTAACCCAAAGGGCAGAAGCAGGAGCACCAGCAAATCCACAGGGGATGAGAGAGAGGCATTCCATTTCTTTCTCCATACTGGGAGCTCTGGTGGGAGAAGGTCCCCTGCTTCTAAGGAAAGGGGATGTGGGAGGAAGGCAACATAATATACAGCAGGAAAAACAATTCTCTATTCTATGCCTCTAGAACAGATGCAGCTGGACGGGTGGAGTCAAGCTTGATTCTGTCCAACAATCTTCCCCTTAATTATACTTTCATTCCATAGGCGAAATAGATCTACACTGGCTGCTGATTAGCACAGAATGAGTCAGAGGGGTGTGTGCAGGAGAGGAGAGAACTCACTAGTCTCTGCTTTGTGGGTTTAACAAAGGACAGACCCACCAGCCTGAGGGAGCTTGGAGCTGCAAGCTCCTCACAGCTGTTGGTACTTGGCTGATATGATCATTCGGCTTCCAAACCACAATCCTCCACCATCTGGGTACGACAAAGTCATCATTAGAATTATTGGACCCCAGCAGCCTGTTGGTCCATAGGGTAGTAAAGCTAGGTGTGTTCAAAGAGTAGGTTTGTGAAGCACAGAAGCGGCTAGCACTCAGTGGAGGGGCCCGAAGTCTGGAAGTCTTGGATATTTAATCACTGCAATCTCTTAAAAGTTTCTGATCATTTGCAGATATCTTTGGAGAATGTGGACGAGAAGTCATTTACTTCTAACCACCTTCATGCGGCTTGTTTAAACACTTACTTGAGGTGATGGCATTTCAAAGAAAAATTGAAATGGCGAAAGATTTGGTAATTGCTCCAGATGGGATGTATCTGTGGAAATTATTCACACTCCTTCACGCCACAGTCTCCCACCTCTTGGGACTAACAAACAACAGGATGGATAGCAAGGCCAACAGGTGTATGCTGCAGGGTGGAGACCACTTGATGGCATTCACAGGTCCCAATAAAATTCACAGCAAAAGAAGCCAGGAGGAAAGGAATTGCCAGACTGGATCAGAACAACTGTCATTTAGCCCAGTATTTGGTTTTCAATGGCAACCAGTACCAGATCCGTCAAAGGAAGGTGTGCAATCCTCTTACTAGCAGTTACAGAGTAATCTCTCACGGGGGACGTTTCTTCCTGAACACAGGAAGGGAGGTTGGGTTAATGCGTTTATAGGTTCTGATCAATTTTTATCTGATCTAAGGAAACAGAGGATGCCCTTATTCACACAAGTGTTTAATCCTATTTTGAATGCTACTAAGCCCTTGGCCTCAATACTTTATATTTGTCTCCACAGGTTAACAAAACACAATTTTTATCCGGTTTAAATCTGTTGTCTTTTCAATTTCATTTGTACCTCATTGTTCTTGTATTAGGCAAAAGGATAGATGGGAGACAGAGTGAAGCAGTCTGTTCTCTGCTAAACTGCAGACCACCAGATCTGGACTTGGCTGAGGAGCACAGGAAATCGTTTGCAATTCCCCTGAGTTCCATAACAAAGTAGTTTCATAACCCCCCCGATTAGGAGGTGGCACTATGGAAAACAGCCCAACTTCTTTCAAAGCCCTCAAGTGGATGCTGCCCTCTTCCTGGGAAAAAATGGAGCTGTAATACAAAACACTCTTACCGTGTAGGACGACTTGCTGGTGATCTCCAAGAGCTTCTGCTTTGCTCTCCGCTCAGACTCTCGAGCCTCTTGAAGGTCCTGCTTTAGCTGATCAGCTTCCTTTGCCCTATGTACAGTAACAAACATTAGATCAGAGATGGACAGGGAAGGAATGGAGTGGGATGAAAGTCAGAGAAGGAGAAATGGAGCAGCACCAAAGTGTGGGTGTAGGGGGGTTGGGATTTATCAGGCAATGAGATCTATTAAGCTGCAGAATAATTTCCAAAAGGGAAATGATGGAAATCCAATCACTTGAGACCTTCCAACTAGACTAGACAAATACTGAAGAAAACAAACCTGCACTGACTGCCAAGGATGGAGAAGACCGGCTAGATCAGTGGTTCTCAAACTATGCCGCTTCTTTGTTTGGGTTCTCCACTGCCCCGCAGGCCTGAGACCTGATCAGCCCCTCTCCCATCCCATATTAAACCAGCCTTGGGTGAAACTCAATGTTCACCACTAAAATGGGGGGGGGGGAACCCCTTAAATTTAGAGTGCCCTAAATTGAGTGGGTAACAGCCCCACATGCAGTATCAGATCCTATCTAGAAGGAGACGACCTGGTAGGTCATCTAGCCCAGTGGTTCTCAAACTAGGGCCGCCGCTTGTTCAGGGAAAGCCCCTGGTGGGCCGGGCCACTTTGTTTACCTTCCGTGTCCGCAGGTTTGCCCGATCGCAGCTCCCACTGGCTGCAGTTCGCCGCTCCAAGCCAATGGGAGCTGCAGGAAGCGGCGCGGGCCAAGGGAAGTACTGGCCGCTGCTTCCCACTGCCCCCATTGGCCTGGAGTGGTGAACCGCTGCCACCGGGAGCAGCGATCGGCCAAACCTGCAGATGCGGCAGGTAAACAAACCAGCCCGGCCCGCCAGGGTGCTTACCCTGAACAAGCAATGGCCCTAGTTTGAGAACCACTGGGCTAGATGACCTACCAGGTCGTCTCCTTCTAGATAGGATCTGATACTGCACGTGGGGCTGTTACCCACTCAATTTAGGGCACTCTAAATTTAAGGGGTTCCCCCCCCCATTTTAGTGGTGAACATTGAGTTTCACCCAAGGCTGGTTTAATATGGGATGGGAGAGGGGCTGATCAGGTCTCAGGCCTGCGGGGCAGTGGAGAACCCAAACAAAGAAGCGGCAGGAAATCCAAGTCACAAAAGGGCGTGCTCTAAAATAAGGATGTTGTGTTAGCATTTGCAAAAAGACTGACACCTGGAGAATCAGGTCACGCTGCTAGAGTGAGGACGACAACTTGGGAACACATTGAGTGATCAAAATCAGAGCAGAGGTAGGAAACTTTGGCTTGGGGAGTAGAAGCTTTGGTCTTCTGAATATTAATCATCTACAGAGGGTTGTTTGTCTAAAAGGAACATAAGAAAATGCCCAACAAGTCCTATATGGACTTTAACATGCCAATCTCAGGGCCCAAGGGTTCTAATACACTTCTACCCCGATATAATGCGGTCCTCGGGAGCAAAAAATCCCTACCGCGTTATAGGTGAAACCTGTTACATCGGGGTAGTGACGGCAGGGCTCCAGCAGTGATTTATAGGGCCCAGAGCTCCCTGCAGCAGCCGGAGCCCTGGCCCTTTAAAGCACCACCCAAGCACTGCTGCCGGAGCCCCGGGGTTACCGCGCTATATGCGTATTATATCGGGTCGCGTTATATCGGGGTAGAGGTGTACTACCATTTATCCCTGATGTATGGCAGCTCCTGAGGACACACCCTGGGTAGAAAGCAAAAGGAGAGATGAGGAGAGAGAGAGAGAGAGAGAGAGAGAGAAGCCTTTTTTGCTGAATCAGAATTTACAGGAGCTCAAGATAGAGAAGGGATGACTGGGGATAAAGTTATTGAACAAGCGAGAGGGCTGAAGCCCAATGCACTCATAATTGATAACAGGGAGGAAGTTAGTGTTATTTTTAATTCACCAACTAATTAATGCAAGATGTGACAAGAGCCGGAGCAAGGGGGAGAATGATGAATTGAGTTTAATATCTAGAAGCAAAACTCAAGTGTTATTAATTAATGGAGCCAAATACTTTAGAGAATACGGCAGGTATTTCTGTGGCTGATCCTACAGCTCCTAGTTAGTGCTCCAAGATGAGCAAGGGAAGAAGAGTCCTATGGACAGTTTGAAAGGAAGAATATATTCCAGCCACCCACCAAAGCCAGTAGCTGAAATTCCCTCTCCTGGTCACTCTCTCCTCATTGTATCTCTCCTATAAGAATTCTTCAGCATCAGGCTTAAATACATGAAAATTAGGGAGGCCCGATATGTTTATTAGCATCAGTTTACCATTCAGCGGCAGCCTAATTCTGACAAACAGAGCTGCCTAAAGAAAGAAACCAGCTGGGTTTTGTGGCCAACTAGCCCTCACACGTGTCTGGAATACCAAGGGCTCACTGCACACAGTTTGGAAGCCCTGTATAAAGGTGTGACCCCAGGATACGGTCTCAGCTAAACTCAGTGGCAGATCTGGAAAGTAGAGCATGGAAGCAGGTGTAGGGTTCCTCCCTCTGACCTTCTCTCCGATTCTTCTGCCATCTTCAATGCCAACATCTCTGCCTCCAGGACCTTTTGTTCCATCAACCGTTTCTCCTCCTCTGTCCGGATTGCCGTGGCTTTGATCCGCTGCATCTCCTGCTCGGCCTCAGCTGCTTTCTGAGCCAGCAGCTTGGCTTCCTCTTCTGTGATCTGCGCTTTTTCAGCCAGCAAGTCTGCGGTCTCTTCAGATCTCATCTGGGAGCCAACACATACAGCAGTGTCAGCATGCACAAGGGCCCCACCCTGACATGTCCAAGATCCCTATGGTAGGGACCCTAAGTTCCCTGCCCCACCTTTATATTATGACCCACGTGCTCAAATTCCCCATTTCCACAATCCTTGCAGTGCCTTGGCCACTGCAATAAGCTCCCAACCAAGACTCAGATACTCTCAGGCTCTCTGCCTCCAGTTAATCATCCACTGAGACTGTGCCGTAGCAGGGCCCTTGCACCACACCATTCAACTGACCCATCTGTCTTTTTAATCAGTGTTCACAAACCGGGGCTTACGAACAGTCCCAGAATGCACATTGTATGTCTGCTGACTTCAGCAAAGGAAGTCACGAATGTCTGCAGTGACTGGAGAACAACCATCACAAAAACATACCAGAGCCTCATTGGCCATTGTCGCCTCCTCCTTTAACTGCAACAACCTCCTCTCCAACTCATCCCTTGTTCTCTCTGCCTCTTCCCTCATCTGCTTCTCTCGAGCCAGCCGCTGTCGTTCCATCTAGGGAGATGAGGGGAGAGAAAGGAAAGGAAATAACAAATATTAGAATAACCAACGTTCAGTGTATTCCTGCGACGGAGCACACTCGCCCCACACTGGACAGGGACGGGTTAACACACATTGTGTTAACCAAGCCCTCTCAACTCTACTGGGCATGCTCCAAATGCACTAGTATAAAAGGGAGAAGCTCGGGTCACTTGCTGCTGACCGCCAGGGAGGAAGGATGCCATCGGCTCCAGCCAAGGATCAGACGAAGCCTGAGGCCGTGGGAGCCGGAGATGCCAGAACCCAGGCAGACGCCAAGCTACCCACGGAGGCTCTGCAGAGTCTGGAGTCGCCGGGGACAGTGCAGACCAGGGAACCCGGAGACAGCTGAGATACCCAGATTGCAGCAGCGGGAACTATAGTAGGAAGCAGCCCAGGGCAACTAGATAGTGGCCCAGTTATTGAACCCGAATTTTGAGTCAGCGTGTTTCAGTCAGAACCGTCCCACTGACTCAGTGGCACACGTTCCGGGCACTCCCAGGACCCTGGACTGGGGTCCAGTGGAGAGGGAGGGCCCAGACCCCTTTTTGTGTGTGGCAGCCCCCTTCCTGACAGATCGCTGGGCCTCACTACCCTGCTACCAGGGATGAATTTACTGACTTTGGCCATTAGACCTTACTGCCCTGCTAAGAGGGGTGAACCTATGGACTTTAGCCACTAGGCCTTACTGCCCCTCTGACTGAGGCAAATTATTGACACTGGCCATTGGGCCGCACTGCCCAGCTATTAGAGGCAAGTACATTGACTTTTGCCTTTAGGCCTCATTGCCCTGCTAAGAAGGGCAAGTATATTGACTCAGGCTAAGGAGGCATAGACATAGGTTACGTACGTCCCACCCCTACACCCTAAGAGACACAGGACGCACTCGCCTCGCACTGGTTGGGGTCTCCCCCAACCCTGTTACAATTCCCTAGGTATGGTGCATTTCATGGACAGGATTGGAATGTTGTCTGGTGGTTGGAGAGCACTCAGATAAGTAAAATCTCCTCCTTCTGCTTCAATTTACCCATTTGTCAACTAGGGATATTTCACTATCAAAAGGGGACAGGCCTATTAATGTGTGTGAAGCACTTTGTGATCTCAGGATGACAAGTACTGTAAACCACAAGTTCAAACAACACGGACCTTTGTTATTTTCCATCAGATACAACAGCAAATTAAGCCTAATGCACTGGAAATTCTTCCCCATTCCATTCATTTAATGGATAGGCCAGAAAGCGTAAGATTACCAACAATAAGATTCCTATACAAGTCAAGCTGCCTCCTCTCACAGTGTGCAAGAAGGACTTCTCCATGTGAGAAACAGCCAGTCAGGCCCCCCCGATACAACCTAATCTAGCGGAATCCCTTCCACCAGCTCCCAGAGGAACGTGCAGCACATATACTGCCTCTGAAAGCACCCCACATTCAGTATTTTAGACAGCAGCTGCACACTGTACAACTTGTGACCTTTGCTAACCAAGCGATGGAAGGGAACTGCAAAACCAGTTAATTCACCACCTCTCAGCACCCAGATCTCACAGTGATGGGCCCATTATAATTACCAAGGCTACATGTATAGATCACTGCATTACTTAGGCCATGCTGAGTTTAATGAGCCGAACAAGGAGGCAAGCCATCCCCCTGTGATCCTCAGGCACTGGCTATGTTCTGAAAGCAGGACACCCATTGCTTTAACGATGGTGCTTCTCTCTACTAAAGGTACCCTTCATCAATCACCACTTGTTATCCCATTCAGGTCTCGTGATGTGAGAAGGCTGCTCAGAGCCAGTTCACACAGTAACCCTAGAGTGTAGGCAGCAAGATACAATAAGGGGGTTAATCCCACGGAGAGCGGCACAATCTCCACATTTCTTATACAGCCTAGTGGCAAGGGCACTGGACTGTGCCTGAGGTGACCTGGGTTTAAGTAACAGCTTTGCCACTGGCCTGCTCGGTGGCCTTGGGCAAGTCACTTTCCCTCTGTAAATCAAGATCATGAGCCTGACCTCCTCTGCAAAGCACTTTGAGATCTTGGGATTAAAAGCACTAGATATGAACCAGGTATTATTCCTCCTCCTCTGGGCCCACTTGCAAAAGCTCTAACCATTTCATCTCAAATTCAGTGATAAATGTGTACCCACCCCCCACCTCCAGAGCCAGGTGGTCACTTCCCTGGTAACTCTTCCCAAGCCCCTGGACTCCTACCAGGCAGTCACCCAGGCTTTTCAGTTCTTCCTGGCTTCATTCAGACAGGTCCTCCATATCCCTCAAAGAGCCCATCAAATTCCAAACACCGCCCTCTTCCCCGCTAACTCCTGAAGATTCCAGGTCACTCATCATCCTCAACCTCCAGGAGGATTGCCTGGGGCTCCTTTTAGTCTGCCAACACCATTCCTACACTGGCCAGAGGCACCGAGGTTAGATGCAAGCATTCTCTCCTCCCAACCAAAGACAAGGGTGCTGCCCTTGCCATGCTCTGAGCCTCTCTGAACATAGGAAGCTGAAGAAAGGAGAACTGGACACAGGTCTCCTGCATGGCACTCCAGAGCATAGCAGGAGGTTGGGCAAGGTACTCAGTTCTAACCCCCGAGCCTGGGCAATAAATCCCAGTAGACATGTCCAAATCCAAGAGCAGTACATCTGCATTTAAAGTCTCTTGGTACAGCTGGCTGATACTGCTGCTATCTAGTGGCTTATCCAGAAACGAACGTTTATATTCTAAGCAGCAGCGCTCAGATTAGCTGTGTGGGTTTCAGTGAGTAGAAAAGGTCCATGAACAGAAAACAATGATTCATACAATCCAATTTGCTGATATATGCTCATTGGCTACAAGCTGCTGCCTGTGATGTGTCTGTCGTTCCTGCCGCCTGACCTGTGGCGGATAGAGGCCAGGACCAAATCAGCATGCAGGCTGCATCACCATCTAATTAGGAAATGAGAGCACAGAGCAATGGCAAAGCACAACTCCTGCCTTAATTACAATCAACTTCCTCAAGACAGTACAACTTTCCTGCAACAGGACTAGGTAGGGATGGATGCAAACATATGTACCGTGCGCACAGGTTATCCTTTTCCCCACCCACTTATACCTCCGAGCCTGTAGTCAGCCATTCTGCCATCAGCCCACATACTGAAGCGTAAGAACTACAGGTAACAACAGGGCAGGCTACTAGAGGAACAGTTCAGCAGGTCCTGCCTTGCACACCTAGTGCTGGTGGTTTGTGCTATTCTGTTCCCTCCTGGTATATTTATATTTCTGATTTTGGCTCACAGCTGGGTTGTATTACAAGGGGTCTCTCACCTGCTTTCTGGCCTTCTCCTCCCTGGCCTGTGCTTTCATCTGCTGGACCTCCAAAGAGTCTGCCTTTCTCCTCCTCATGAATAGATCGTGGTTTCCAATACACAGCTGAAGAATCTGTCCCAACCAAAGATAAGGGGGAAGAAAGGAAAGAAATGAACACATACATACTTGGATGACATGATCTGTACTGCCACCACATAGACCAGAGTTATTAATACTTAGTGCTCATATAGCACCTTCATTCATAGATCTGAAAGCACTTTACAAAGTATCATTATCCCCATTTTACAGATGGGGAAACCAAGGCACAGAAAGGTGGAGTGAGTTACCCTCAGGTATGAAACCCGGGTCTTCTACATCCCAATGCATTTTCTTATGCGCTGGATCACAACGCCCCTCCAGGTTTCAAGGAGCACTATGGGATGAGGTTTACAGTGCCATAAGAAATGTATCTTCAGTCTCTGGAAGGAGCAGGGGGGAATGAAAAGAGAGAAAGGCTACCCGATGCACAGCATTCAACCCACTTACACCAACCAGCCTGGAGCAGGATCACAGCCTTGCTGGAGCCCTTCAGCCATGCCTGCTGCACACCTTGTGGAGCAATGCAGTTGATTCTAGCCCTTAGGGGCAGAGGAGGAGGATGATCTGAAACTGACAGTGGTGGGAAGAATGGTGGGAAAAAGCTAAGGGATAGGTGAAAACTCTATAACCTCCCTCAGACGCATCTCTAAGGGCCTCAGTACAGTGAAGTCAATGGAGCTATACCACTGTGAGACTGAGGAGAGTACAATAAGTATAAGGCCCAAGGATTAGGCCCTGCCTTGGTAAGGTAACAGTACCTTTCCTGAGACTAGGTGAAGGGCAGACTATGTTGGCAGAGTCAGGACAGAAATCCCTCTGCCTACCCCCAAAAGAACCCAAAATAGACTCCTCTAGAGAGAGCAGCTGAGTAATGGGGATTACAGATTTTCAAGAGCCAGCAGCTCTTAGTGCTCTCTTGATCCCGCATGCTGTTGAAAGTCTGGTTACTAGTCTGGATGCCTCAACAAGCACTGTTGGCTACCGACCAATTTTGAGAATCTGGCTCTAGATTTATGATGTGATTTTCTGGCTGTAAACTTTAGAGTCAAATCAGACACGAATGTCTACAGTGAGTGACTTTTTTTTCCCACGTTGCATAAATGGCCATAAGTAACATGAATGCAATGGATCCGAGTTAGTCTCTCCTCTTCAGACAACCACTTGTCATGACTCAAGGGATGTGTCCCGATAGAGGCACAGTACTGAGTGAGCACAGACCAGTTAGTGTTTTCTATTAGACACTGTGATCATCCTGAAATACATCAGCAGAGCAGCAAGGGGAAGCCCAGGAGAAGCAAAAGGACATTCAGGGAATGAAGGAGATGAGAATAATGTTTTATTTACAGTGCAGGGCAGATGTAACCAAAAGGCTCAAAAAAAGGGGATCAATGGAAGAGATGGGGAGGAATTCCACGAAGGAGCTTGACTCTTCCCCCACCCTCTCTCAGAGGCTATAAATTCTTGATTGGATCCGAAACATTAGATCAGACCTGCAGTCCCTCAAGTCAAGTGTGTTACCTCTGACAGTAGCCAAGATGTGTAAATAAGGAAAACCCTGAAAGAACATTGCCTCACATTGCCTATAGAGACTTCCTCAAGAGCCACTGTTGCAGACAATAAAATCACTGTGCCTGTGAACTTACCAGCTTATTCACACGCAGCTTTGATGAATTGAATTTAAAGACATCGATCTTTTTGTCCAGTGGCTTAATTGTAAACTGAAAAGAGAGAAAAAGAAAAAAAAGTTATCAAACTTAGAGCCTAGAACAAAACAGGGTAGCAGAAAGAATTTCACAGCATGCTGGCTAAGAGCAAGTCAATGGAGTGCTGGATAAACAAGCCTGAGAGCAGTCCTCATGGCTTCCTGCCAAGCAGGCTAGCTAGGATCAAAAGCAATCAAGAACTGCTGTTCCCCATCAGGAAAGCTCAAGTGCCTCCAGAAGCAATGTCCTTAAGCTGCAAGAGGAGAGAGTGATTCCTGTCTGCTCAGCAAGTGCTCTCTGACGATCAGCTCACAGGTCTTGGATGGGGTTGTTTACCCACCCTTCCAACCAAAGGCGAGGTGCTTCTGTCCAGCAGGATATGCGGAACTAGGAACAGGGAGGATTAAAAACAATTGTGGCCCATCAGAGTAGATTGGGGTGGGCAAACTACAACCCGTGGGCCGGATCTGGCCCCTCAGGGTTTTGGATCCGGCCTGCTGGATTGCCCCCTGTGGCCCCGTGGACCCCACACCGCTCTCAGAAACGGCTGGCACCACTTTCCTGCGGTCCCTGGGCAGGGGAGCAGAGGGCTCTGTGAGTTGCCCTTGCCTCCGGGCACCGCCCCCCACGGCTCCCATTGGCTGGGAACGGGGAACTGTAGCTAATGGGAGCTTCGGGGGAGGTACCTGGAGGGGCTGCAAGGGCACATGCGGAGCCCTCCGTCCCCTCCTCCCACAGGGGCCACAGCGCTTCCTGGAGCGTCACAGTATGGGGCCAGGGCAGGCATGCAGGGAGCCTGCCCTGGCCCCGGTGCGTGCCACTGCCACCCCGGAGCCACTTTAGGTAAACAGAGCCAGGCCGGAGCCCAAACCCCGCCTGCACCCCACCCCACCCCCCAACTCCCTGCCCTGAGCCCCCTTGTACGCCCCGCACCCCTCTTGCACCCCAACTCCCTGCCCTGAGCCCCCTGAACCCCTCCTGCACCCCAACCCCCTTCCCTGAGCCCCCTCATGCACCCCACACCGCTCCTCTGTCCCAATCTCTTACCCTGAGACCCTTCCTGCACACCGTACCCCCTCCCACACCCTGCACTCCCTCCTACACCCCAACCTCCAATTTCCCAACCCAGATGTGGCCCTTGGCCCAAAAAATTTGCCCACCACTGGAGTAGAGGAACTAGCTTGAACTGCCCAGTGGGTTGGTGCTTAATTAAAGAAAGCAGTTAATTAAACAAACAGTTCTATTTAGGCTTAGCAGAACTGGATTTTTATTTTTTTATCATTTTGATGGATAATATTGATGTTTATTTTTAAGCATTTTTCAACATTTATCAGTTTAAATTTTCACAGTTGCAGGAAACCGGGAGGTTCAGACAACAGGGGGGAGAAGGGGTGTCAGACAATAATTTAATCTCAGTAGATGTTGAGATTTATAAATCTTTAGCTTCTTGATCGTTAAAACACAAAGTGTCAACAGTACATGGCAAAATATACAAAACAAATATGCTTAAATCAAACTCTAAGAAGTTCTCAAGCAGCATTTTTCTTACTTTGCCTATCTGTAAATTTTGATCATCATCGACGGAAATAGTTTCTCGTTGGTTTGTGTGTATACTGTGAAACTGACATTTATCGATAAAAATCTAATCCTACCAAGCCCAGTTATATTCCACCCATGCTTCTAGTCTATCTCCCCCAACCCTGAGGGCCAGTATGTGATTGCTCCATACAGTCTATTCTCCAAGACTTTGGCCAACTTAACCTTATGTTACAGGCCTTATGGTCCCACTTCCCTGGAAAGACTATTCTGCGGTCTAAAATTTTATCCTGTTACTCCTAAGTGTATTTACACAATCTTGTGCCACCCTAAACAATTTCATCCCCTCCTTGGCGCTTACTGCATTCAAAGTACTTCCCAACTACAATCAGCTCTCTCCAGCCTCAGGTGATACAGTACTAGTTGTACTGCCAGGGATGGGGGTTCAAGCATCATGGTGCTGGGGGCCATATAATGAACTGAATGGATGGGGACTCTCAGTTAACAAAAGGATACTTCACAAGGTCACTGCAGTTTTAGAGGGCCTCCCCACCCCACCCCCCAAAAAAGCTGGCTGAACAGACAACCCTTCTGCATAAAGGCAGTACGATACATTGTACTGCCTGAGGAGTTCAGCACAACTGACCTCAGCAAACCGTGCCTGATCTTTAAGTCTTCCACATAGGCTGATGTGCATGAATTTCTTTGGATTTTAACTCCAACAGAGTCCATGTTTTTTTATTTATAGATATATTAATGATAAAGTTCCTCCTCTACCTTGGGGGGGTCCTGCGCTTATTGGTGGATTTTGCTTGCCTCAGAGATTCACAGTAGCCCTCAGTTTGGCCACTTTCATGGCTCAAATCTGCTGTTCACTCAGATAACCTCATCACTGGCCAGTATGGGGAAAAAAAACAGTAAGAACAATCCCCGCAGTTTCTGCTGATCCACCATGTGGGTCGGGGAACAGCCCAGAGAACTTCCCCTCTGGTGGAACCTCCTGTGTTGGATCAAGAGTTGGGAGGTTTGAGGGGAACCCGGGCTCGCCCTCTACCCCAGGTTCCAGAGTAATACCAGTGCCACATACACAGTTGATCATTGTTAAAATAGATTAAACACCTTCACTGTGTCAATATAGCTGTCATTCACTGCTATTAAGCCTGCTTACTATCATGTCAGGTCAATTTGTGGTCATTTTATTACAAGGATTATTGACATGATAGAAGATGACAGTGTCTTCCCCCAGGAGAAAGATCTATTACAGTCTATTATGTCAAGGCCTACTTGCAGCTGCTTCAGCCTCAGAGTCCTAGAGTAACGCATGATCAGGGAGCTTTCACTGCACTGACCTGGATATGGGCAGAAAAGAGTCTTAGGAGAAGAAAAACTGTTGTGCTTGGGCTGTTGCTCTACATTATGGAGAGCTTTAGTTTTAATTCTTAAAAAAAAAAAAAAGATTAAATTAGGCGCTTATCACTTAAGAAAAACATGAATGAACTCAACTGAAGTGAGAAATCTTTAGCTTTTTGCCCTCATCAAATATCTTTAAATTAAAAATAAAACAGAAATTAAACAGCTAATTTGTTTACTTGTCATGAAGGTAGCTAGTTTCCTTTGTGCAATTCCCTCAGACTGGGCAGGGAATTGGTCATTTTCACTGTCTATAGTCAATTTTACCTCCTTAGGGCATGGCTACACTTGCAGATGTAGAGTGCTGTGAGTTAAACCCACCTTCGGAGAGCGCAGTAGGGAAAGCGCTGCAATGTGACCACATTTGCGGCACTTGCAGCAGTATTGGGAGCGGTGCATTATGGGCAGCTATCCCACAGAGCACCTATTCCCATTCTGGCGCTTTGGCTTGTGGGAAGGGGGTGGGGCATTCTGGGTCCTGTCCCAACGCCCCATGATGCATCGGTTCGCATCCCAGCATTCCCTGTGCTTCCGTCCACATTTGGCGCCATCTTTCAACGTTTTTTTGTACTGCGCACTCCATCTTCCCTTTCGGTCTGCGGGAATGCAGCCTAAACTGCTGAGAAGTATGCTGTCGAGTCTCGCCAGCACGTCACATTTGGCAGTCGAGTTATTCCTTAGAATCCAAAGGGACAGTGAGGGCTCAGACGACGATTGCGACTCGAGTAACGCATACGACACGAGTTTGCTTGTGGCATTCACGGACATGCTCAGCACCGTGCAACGCCGCTTTTGGGCCTGGGAAACAAGCACTGAGTGGTGGGATCACATTGTCATGCAAGTCTGGGATGACGAGCAGTGGCTGCAGAACTTTTGATGAGAAAAGCCACTTTCATGGGACAATGTGAGGAATTCGCCCCCACCCTGTGGCGCAAGGACATGAGATTGAGAGCTGCCCTGATGGTGGAGAAGCGGGTAGCTATTGCAATCTGGAAGCTGGCAACTCCAGACAGCTACCGATCAGTCGCTAACCAGTTTGGAGTGGGAAAGTCAACGGTTGGAATCATGTTGATGCAAGTTTGCAGGGCCATTAATCGTATCCTGCTCAGAAGAACTGTGACTCTGGGTAACGTGCAGGACATTGTGGATGGCTTTGCACAAATGGTTTTCCCTAACTGCGGAGAGGCGATAGATGGCACGGATATTCCAATTCTGGCACCAGCCCACCTAGCCTCCGAGTACGTTAATCGGAAGGGGTATTTCTCGATGGTTCTCCAAGCGCTTGTGGATCACCGCAGGCATTTCATTAACATTAACGCAAGCTGCCCTGGAACGGTGCATGACGCACACATCTTTTGGAACACAGGCCTGTTCAGGAAGCTGCAAGCTGGGACTTTTTCCCCCAGACCAGAAGATCACCGTAGGGGAAGTCGAAATGCCCATTGTGATCCTTGGAGACCTGCCTACCCCTTAATGCCGTGGCTCATGAAACCCCACACAGGGAGCCTTGACAGCAGCAAGGAGCAGTTCAACAACAGGCTGAGCCGGTGCAGAATGACTTTGGAGTGTGCTTCTATCCATTTAAAGGGTCACTGGTGCTCTCTGTATGGGAAGCTGGACCTGGCCGATGACAGCATCCCCACGGTTATATCCACGTGCTGTACCCTCCATAACATTTGTGAAGGGAAGGGTGAATGATTCACTCAGGCATGGAACTCGGAGGTTGAACACCTGGAGGCTGAATCTGAACAGCCAGAGAGCAGGGCTATTAGAGGGGCCCAGCTCTGCAAGGCTGCAAGGATTAGAGATGCCTTGAGGGAGCAATTTGAGGCTGAAAGCCACCAGTAATGTCTGGTGCCCTTCACGGGAGTGAAGTGCAGTGGTTCCAATGTTAGTAGAATCTGTGTTTGCTATACTGACTTGCAGTGCCTGTTTCCTTCCTGGGCTAAAGTATCTTTTACTTTATGCAATAATGGATTTTTTGGCTTTGAAAACATTTATTGAAAAGAAACACAACTGCTTGGGAAACAGAAAGGGCAAGGGGGTGGGGTGGGGAATGGTACGATCACAGATTTGTGTATGTCCTGTCTGGAGTGCTGTGCAATCAGTGCTGCACTTCAGGATGGCTATACTGCATGGTGATGGGGGTTGAGTGCAGTGGGTAAGGGTCGTGGTTTTCAGGGCTGGGTGGTGAAGCTACAGGTGTTGGAGGCAGCTGGTAGCGGTAAGAACCCGGATGTTGGGGAAAGTGGGTTGGAGGCGAAATGGGGGCACAAGGGAAAGTTTTGGGACAAGGGCTGCAGGGGGGCGTGGGCGCGGTAATGCTCCTCCTGCATGGCTACGAGCGCCTGGATAGAGTCTGCTTGGTGCTCCATTATGCTTATCAGCCGATCCATGCTTTGCTGCCGGAGCACCACGCTTTTATGCCAGCACTCCTCGTTCTGCTGGCGGAGCCTCCTTTTACTCTCCTGCCACTCCTGCACTTTTTGATTTTCATTACTTGAATGCTGCATTATTTCATGCAACATGTCTTCCTTGCTTCTACGTGGCCTCTTTCTGATTCTTTGGAGTCTTTCAGCCGGTGATAACATGGACGGCTGAGATCTCAAGGTTGCATCTGTAAAGGCAAAATGCAACACTTAACAGAGGCAGCCCTGTTCACACCAGACAAAGCAATGATTCCTCTGTACTTAAAGGCAAGCACAGTCTATACAACAGCATAATTTGCCTGTCCCAAAGCAAGTGCACATAAACCCGTGGGAGCCCCAAAATGGTGAGAAAGCACAGGGTCAAGCGTGACTGATTGTTTCACGGCTGTACTGTCCTCTGGGTTTCTGTGCCATGGGGAGAGCCAACAGCGGCAGGGAGCCCCTATACTGAACATTGTCCTCACATTTTCCACAGGAGTTCGTCCTGGAAGATATCTCGCTGCTGAGGGTGGCCTGGGAAGCAAGGGAGGGTCTTCTACTGCAATGCGGCTTCTGCCCTGGCCCATATGCAGCTTGCCTGTGTGCAGCAATGGTCTCCCCGCCCCTCGCGGCACAGTGGCACGGACAAGTTAGCCTTACTGGGACAAGGACCACAGTGGCTCTCCCGAGAAACCTGTGCAACCACATTGCCCAAGTTCTGGATGAGACCTTTGAAGAGATCACTGAGGCCGATTACCACAATGTGAGAGCACATCAACGCCCTATCTAGGCATGCATGCAGCCGTAATCCTCCTTGCCCCGAGAGCCCCCACCGAATAACTTCCTTCCCAAAATAAAAGCCGCTTACCGGGAACCTCCTCTGGTGTTTGTCCTTCCCCAAGCACTGGCTGCCGTGACTGGCTACCTTCCTCCTGGCTTGAGAACAGCTCCTGGCTGCATGCATCTAGGGGTTCTGGGGTGCCTTCCTCCGCCTCAGCACACTCGCTCCCGCTTTGCTCCTCCTCCTGCCTTGTTGAACTGGGCTCTGAAGTGTCCACGGTGGTCCTCGGAGTGGAGGTGGGGTCACCCCCAAGTATCACATCCAGCTCTTTGTAGAAATGGCAGGTTGTGGGGGCAGCACTGGAGCAGTTATTTGCCTCACGGGCTTTGCGGTAGGCATTCCGCAATTCCTTTACTTTAACCCTGCACTGCAGAGCGTCCTGGTCATGGCCCCTTTCCATCATGTCCCTTGATATCTGCCCAAAGGTATCGTAATTCCTACGGCTGTATCGCAGCTGGGACTGGACAGCTTCCTCCCCCCAAACACTGATGAGGTCCAGCACCTCGCCATTGCTCCATACTGGGGATCGCCTGGTGCGTGGAGGCGTGGTCACCTGGAAAGATTCGCTGAGGACACTCCACGCCTAGCTGAGCAAACAGGAAGGGGATTTTCAAAATTCCCAGAGAATTTAAAGGGCGGGTCTGATGGTTGATCACCTGAGGGCAGGGCAGTAGAGTTCAAAGTGATGACCAGAGTGGCTAGAACAGGCATTGTGGGACACTTCTGGAGGCCGATCAGAGCGCATTAACAGGACAGGTCGTCCACACTGGCGCCACGGTGCTCCAGGGAGGACGCAGCAAACGTTATTCCATTCGCCAAGGTGAAGAACCAGCAGCGCTGTAGCCACATTCCCCAGTGTGAACGGGGAATGAGCTAGGGAGCCCGTGGCTCCTTTATTGCGCTGTAACTTGCAAGTGTAGCCAAGCCCTTATTCTAGTCTTAGTGGTGTTGGTGTTTGGATTACAACTATTCAGGAAGCCATTCCTATTCACATCAACAGTTTAATCAAAATCGACCATAGGTGTTGGGCCTACACTACTTGACACCTAAGAAAAGATTCAATCTGTTGCATTGAGCCTGGCAGTCTGAAAGTTTGGAAGCTCAGAGTACTATAATGAAGCAGTGAGCCAAAAGCTCTTCTTACCAGGAACGCATTTAATTATACTTCACGATGCCAGGGCATATTCATAGTAAGACAAGATTCTCATCTTCTGAACTTTCAGCTGGCTGGGCTGTGCATACTAGGGATAATTTTCTTTTTAAAATGGTTAAACAGAGGGCTCTAAAAATAATAAATAAATAAAAATAGCTCCTGGGCTGAGCTCTTGAACACCTGCTTTCAAAAAAACATACAAAAGCCTGGGAATTAAGGGTTCTACTGGAAAGACTGAGACAGCTTTGGCTGTGACTGAGAGAGCAAGTGAAACAGGAGATAAGAGAAGTCCCTCTGATTTGTTATTGCATTCCTATTGGTATTTGTACATAGGCTAAAGATGCCCTACCTCCTTATCACTGTAAGAGATATTCCGGATCTCATTCCATGGAAAAGAGATTTTGGGGGTCAGCCTGTTTTCTGGGTCGTAGATGTGAAGCCCCAGTGCATCAACCCCAAGCAACAGCTCGGTGCCCTTCTTATTCTACAGGAGGGAAGAACAGAGCAGAACACATCATTTCCATTTGAAGCAGGAAGATTTAAGGAGGATCTGACACAAACAGTTACATCCAACTAGTTTCATCCAGCCCTGACCAGGGATGCAGCACCAACTATCCCAGAGGGGATCCTGCTTCCCAGGCATAGTGCACTGCAGTAGTGACTCATTCACTCATCCTCTTGGGAGGCTTCTGGCAGCAGCTTATCCACTGCCTCCCCCTCCCCCCGCCCACAGATAAAATACTGCGGGTGTGCAGCCAGCATTGAGTTCCACACAGTAGTCTCAAGACAAGGGGACCTTTAACACTAGGACTATCCCTCTCAAATGCCTCTTCCCCTGCCCCAGACACACAATGGACTCAAGATGCCTTGAAAACATGACCCAAACTCTGAACTCACCCTAATTGCAAAGTAGTTTACTCCATACATCTCCAAGTCCTGAGCGATCTTCAAATATTCCATTTCAGCTTCATCTCTGTCAGGTAAATACAGGCCAAAGTTACAGACAGGAAGAGAGAGGGGGAAAACAGGCGCCTTTTAAGCCTTGCAGGCATGTAACGCACTGGAGCCAGGACTGTCTCTATTGCAAGGGTCAAGTCTCTGTTTACCAGCAGGATCGATAAAGATCCCCAGCAAATCCCAGTTTGCAGCTTACCTGCATCCTAATGTCTATTAATGACAGCACAGAGGATGCAATGTTTCAGGCCTTGTCTACCCCAATCCCTTGAACAGACTCAGTTTGTGTGTTTGACATCTCTTGCTTTTTGCTCATCCTGAAGGAGGAGTGTATTGTCCAGTAAGGGTATAACTACCCATACTAGCTTGTGGTACAAGGAATCATTAAGTGAGTGAAATCTCACGAATCCAGACTCCTATTTCTCTCTCCTGCCCACTGAGCATCACTCCCATCTCAACAGTCATTTCAGTGACTCAGCAGGAGTGCTGCCACGCCCTACCTACCACACACATGGCCTTCCTGCAGTGGCATTCCAAAGCCTCCCACTGGAATCCCATCAACATACTATTATGACTGGCCAGCAGGGGGCACTAGGAGTGGTAAAAGTTCTCTCCAACTGCTCCTTTAGGACTTGTCTACATACAAAATTGTACCACACCAGCCATACTCATAACTACAATGGTACAAACACTCTCACGTTGCTGCAGTTCTATTGATATAATGGTGCGTATGCTGGTATAGCTTATTCCGGTAGGCACCTGCTATGTAGGTGCCTTATACAGATCTAACTGCATCCACACTAAGGGTACGTCCAGACTACCCGCCGAATCGGTGGGTAGTAATCGATCTATCGGGGATCGATACATCGTGTCTTGTCTAGACACAACATAGCGATCCCCGAACGCGCTCCTGTCGATTCCGGAACTCCACCAGGGCGAGCGGTGGTAGCGGAGTCGATGGGGGAGCCGCAGCCGTCGATCCCGCACTGTGAGGACCCGAGGTAAGTCGAAATAAGATACGTCAACTTCAGATAGGGTATTCCTGTAGCTGAAACTGCGTATCTTACATTGACCCCCCCTCCCAATGTAGACCAGCCCTAAGGGTGTACTGATGTAACGATTTTGGTAGAAAAAAAAATCTCCTAGCTGAGATAGCTCTATTGCACAAAAAACTGTGTCGACACGTTCTTTGTTGTAAGCATTATCTCCACTGTGCTGGCAGCCTAGAAAGAGGGAGGTTGCCTTGCTAAATTGACTTCTAGTCCAAAGAGCTGATCCAGAACACCACTGTTCATATGTTTTCCCCCTCCCCACAATACAGTATTTGTAACTCAGGTCACTCTTCTATAGTCTCTTCCTTTTCAGTATCCAGCATGAATAGGGCCCTACCAAATTCAAGGTCCATTTTGGTCAAATTCACAATCATAGGATTTAAAAAATAATAAATTTCATGTTTTCAGCTATTTAAATCTGAAATTTCATGGTGTTGGAATTGTAGGGGTCCTGACGCAAAAAGGAGTTGTGGGGGTGCCTCAAAATTATTGTAGTGGGGGTTGCGGTACTTCTACCCTTACTTCTGCCTGCAGTGGTGCTGCCTTCAGAGCTGGGCAGCTGGAGAGCGGCGGCTGCTGACCGGGAGCCCAGCTCTGAAAGCAGCGCCCTGCCAGCAGCAGCATAGAAGTCAGGATGGTATGGTATGCTATTGCCACCCTGACTTCTGTGCTGCTGCCTGCAGAGCTGAGCCCTCAGTCAGCAGCCACCACTCTCTAGCCGCCCAGCTCAGAAGGAAGGGTGGCAATACCATACCATGCCAACCTTCCTTCTGTGCTGCGGCTGGCAAGGCGTTGCTTTCAGAGCTGGGCGCCCAGCCAACAGCCACCACTTTCTGGCCACCCAGCTCTGAAGGCAACACAGAAATCAGGGTGGCAATACTGTGACCCCTGCCTAAAATAACCTTGTGACCTCCCTGCAACTCCCTTTTGGGTAAGGACGCCCAATTTGAGAAATGCTGGTCTCCCCCATAAAATCACAGAATATTAGGGTTGGAAGGGACCTCAGGAGGTCATCTAGTCCAACCCCCTGCTCAAAGCAGGACCAACACCAACTAAATCATCCCAGCCAGGGATTTGTCAAGCTGGGCCTTAAAAACCTCTAAGGATGGAGATTCCACCACCTCCCTAGGTAACCCATTCCAGTGCTTCACCACCCTCCTAGTGAAATAGTGTTTCCTAATATCCAACCTAGACCTCTCCCACTGCAACTTGAGACCATTACTCCCTTGTTCTGTCATCTGCCACCACTGAGAACAGCCTAGCTCCATCCTCTTTGGAACCCCGCTTCAGGTAGTTGAAGGCTGCTATCAAATCCCTCCTCACTCTTTTCTTCTGCAGACTAAATAACTCCAGTTCCCTCAGCCTCTCCTCATAAATCATGTGCCCCAGCCCCCTAATCATTTCCGTTGCCCTCCGCTGGACTCACATCCCTTCTGTAGTGGGAGGACCAAAGCTGGACGCAGTACTCCAGGTGTGGCCTCACCAGTGCCGAATAGAGGGGAATAATCACTTCCCTCGATCTGCTGGCAATGCTCCTACTAATACAGCCCAATATGCCGTTGGCCTTCTTGGCAACAAGGGCACACTGTTGACTCATATCCAGCTTCTTGTCCACTGTAATCCCCAGGTCCTTTTCTGCAGAACTGCTGCTTAGCCAGTCAGTCCCCAGCCTGTAGCGGTGCATGGGATTCTTCCTTCCTAAGTGTAGGACTCTGCACTTGCCCTTGTTGAACCTCATTAGATTTCTTTTGGCCCAATCCTCCAATTTGTCTAGGTCACTCTGGACCCTATCCCTACCCTCCAGCGTATCTACCTCTCCCATCTTAGTGTCATCTGCAAACTTGCTAAGGGTGCAATTCATCCCATCATCCAGATCATTAATAAAGATGTTGAACAAAACCAGCCTCAGGATCAACCCCTGGGGCACTCCTCTTGATACCAGCTGCCCACTAGGCGTCAAGCTGTTGATCACTACTCGTTGAGCCCGACAATCTAGCCAGCTTTCTAACCACCTTATAGTCCATTAATCTAATCCATACTACTTTAACTTGCTGGCAAGAATACTGTGGGAGACCGTATCAAAAACTTTGCTAAAGTTAAGATATATCATGTCCACTGCTTTCCCCATATCAACAGAGCCAGTTATCTCATCATAGAAGGCAATCAGGTTCGTCAGGCATGACTTGCCCTTGGTGAATCCATGTTGACTGTTCTTGATCACCTTCCTCTCATCCAAGTGCTTCAAAACAGATTCCTTGAGGACCTGCTCCATGATTTTTCCAGGGACTGAAGTGAGGCTGACAGGTCTGTAGTTCCCCAGGTTCTCTTTCTTCCCTTTTTTAAATATGGGCACTATATTTTCCTTTTTCCAATCGTCCAGGACCTCTCCCAATCGCCATTAATTTTCAAAGATAATGGCCACTGGCTCTGCAATCACATCAGCCAACTCCCTCAGCACCCTCAGATGCATTAGATCTGGACCCATGGACTTGTGCATGCCCAGCTTTTCTAAATAGTCCTTAACCTGTTCTTTCACCACTGAGGGCTGCTCACCTCCGCCCCATGCTGTGCTGCCCAGTGCAGCAGTCTGGGAACTGACCTTGTCTGTGAAGACCAAGGCAAAAAAAAGCACTGAGTACTTCAGCTTTTTCCACATCCTCTGTCACTATGTTGCCTCCCTCATTCAGTAAGGGTTCCACATTTTCCCTGACCACCTTCTTGTTGCTAACATACATGTAGAAACCCTTCTTGTTACCCTTCACATCCCTTGCTAGCTGCAACTCCAATTGTGCCTCAGCCTTCCTGATTACACCCCTGCATGCTCTAGCAATATTTTTATACTCCTCCCTAGTCATCTGTCCAAATTTCTACTTCTTGTAAGCTTCCTTTTTGAGTTTAAGCTCACCGAAGATTTCGCTCTTAAGCCAAGCTGGTCGCTTGCCATATTTGCTATTCTTTCTGCACATCGGGATGGTTTGTTCCTGCGCCCTCAATAAGGCTTCTTTAAAATACAACCAGCTCTCCTGTACTCCTTGCCCCCTCATATTAGGTTCCCAGGGAATCCTGCCCATCAGTTCCCTAAGGGAGTCTAAGTCTGCTTTTCTGAAGTCCAGGGTCTCTCCTTTCTTCCTTTTGTTTGGATCCTGAACTCAACCATCTCATGATCACTGCTGCCTAGGTTGCCACCCACTTCTACTTCCTCTACCAATTCTTTCCTGTTTGTAAGCAGCAGGCCAAGAGGAGCACGGCCCCTAGTCGGTTCCTCCAGCACTTGTACAGTGAATAGTATAGTATAGGGTAAAAGCACACAAAAGACGAGATTTCATGGGGGTGAGGAGGGGAGAGATCAGATTTCACGGTTCGTGATGCGTTTCTCATGGCTGTGAATTTGGCAGAGCCCTGAGCTTGACCTACCAGAGGCGCTCTTTTAGCGGAACTCCTCCATAGCCTGCTAGGGATCTTGGAGACTTTATTCACTCTCTGACTGCTCACAGAGAGAGGCTAGAGAATTTACACCAGTCAATAGCCCAACTTAACAGACACTCACCTTGCCCTGCCTCGATGTTCTGCATACCAGGCTGTTATTCTTTCCTCCCACATTTCTGGAGTCATCTGGTACAGGTTAATTACCTGAGAGAGACAGGCAGAGAAATCCTCAGCACACATTGTCCTACCTGTGGCTTTGACTCGTCACCTGATGAATGAGCCAGAAACAGGGAGCCTCAAGCTCAAAATGCCCTTTTTGTCCCCTCACATACACCATCCCAACCCTAACGTCTAATCTCCAGTTCATACGCCTTTCCAACTCCCTCGTGACTAGCCAAGATCAACCCTATGCTCTCATTAATCAGCTCTCAGTTAGCTTTCCTGAGCACACCACACTCCAACCACCCCGAAGCCAACACCTGGACACTTGCGGAATGCAGCTGCTATTCTGGCAAAAGACAGTGGGCAGAAAACATTCACTTCCATATTTATTAAAATATTCTAGATACAGATTAAGATGTCCTCATTCAGTATGGCCAGGTTTACACTACAAAGTTCTGTGGGTATAGCTATGTCCCTCTGCCAGCCACAGAGAGTACATCTCCACTGCAGCTGGGAGGGAGCCTCCCTGTCTGGGGAAGATAGACTTGTGCTAGCGGGGCTCACACTAGCCTGCTAAAAACAGCAGCATGGATGCTGTGGCTTGGGCTGGAGCTCAGGCTCTCAAGCCTCGACGGTCATGTGGGCTTGAGAGCCTGAGCCACAATCTCCACACTGCTCCTTTTAGTGCTCCAACTCAAGCCCCGCTAGCAAGAGTCTGGCCACACAGGCTGGGAGGCTCGCTCCCCGCTGCAACGTAGGCATACCAAGAGCTATACCAGCAAATCTCCCAGTGTAGATGCAGGGGAAGGGATAGCTCAGTGGTTTGAGCATTGGCCTGCTAAACCCAGGGTTGAGTGTTCAATCCTTGAGGGGGCCATTTAGGAATCTGGGGCAAAAATCTGTCTGGGGATTGGTCCTGCTTTGAGCAGGGTCTTGGACTAGATGACCTCCTGAGGTTCCTTCCAACCCTGGTATTCTATGATTCTATGCTGACAGAAGAGTGCTTCTGCTGGCATAGCTAATGTCATTTGGTGAGGGGGTGGTGTTTCTATACCTTCTGCCGGTATAAGTTGTGTCTACACTAGGCTGCTGTGCCGGTACAGCTTTACCAGGTGACCATTTGTGGCCAAGGGGCATGGCACATTGTATCACTTGCCTCAATAAGGGAACTTTGGTCAAGAGAAAATAATTTACTGTTGTGGCTTTTGTAGGTAATCCTACAGGGCTATTCTACAGAAGATGCCAGTAAGTCCTAGAGACTCAGCCATGAATTTAGGATTCTGCCTGGTTGAACTCCTTACCCGTTTTGGAAGCAATTCCTCTTGTGCTAAGAAGCCACGCTGATGAACAGTGGGATCGTAATCACCATACTGAAAAGAAACGCAAACACTGCATGTTTAAGATGGCGACAACGCACAGAGACTATGTCTGAAGATAAGATAGAAATCATCTACATTCTTGAACTTTAACTCAATATCACACACCCTTAAAATAACCACTGAGTGAGAGTAGAGTACACAGTACACGTTGGCCAGTGTGTCAGCCCCATATGTTTCCTTTGTGATGTTAGAGCTGCTGTATGGTGCAGACCTGGAGACCAATTACCTTCTTTTATCTCCAGAGCAGCTGGACAGTAGTACAGCAAACATGCCTCAACAACTCCCACCAATGGGCCTCAGCCCTGTCCTCCAAGAGGGGAGTTTGCTCTTCTTAGCTATTCAGATCTTGACCTCTCAGCTGAGGCTGTCCACAAGGAGTCCAGTTGCATCATTGGTTTTTGTGGCATGGACCAAGACCAGCAAATCATTTGATGCAGCTGGCACCCCCTTTCAGTCACCTCTCAGTGTCCTATTTAATCAATTTAACATTAGGAACATTTTTTAAAGAGAGATTTCAATGGACAGTTGGGGACACTGCTCAGACAGGAGTTTGTCCCACTGCCAGAAGTTCTCTTACTCAAATTAGGTCAGAAAATACTATTCTTATTTGAAAAGTGTGCCCAATAATTATTCACACCAGTTTAGATTATAAATTATTTCAAGCTTCATATAAAATGAAATTGGCAAAACCACCACTTCAGATATAAAGTGCATCGGTAAAAGATTCAAACGCTGAATATCTCTGCAGTGTGTGAGAAACTCAAAGTTCCTCCTGCACAGTACGCAGGGCACGTAATGGCCAAGTCACAGTGCCTGAAATGAGTCAGTTGACTGAAAGGAGATGATTTACAAGTGATATGTACAGGAAATACTTCGATTTTAATTCATCTCTCAATGCAAGAGTCACACTACGGCATCATCCAATAAAAGACAGGACACCATTTCCCTAAGTCAGCCATTTCATAGTGAAAATGCCCTTCATCTCTCTTTCTTGCTTGGAAAGAACAAACAGTAGCAAACAGTAACAACAGTTACAAGACAGACAAATAATAAAACACTGCAACAATAGGAAGTCAAGAGACATTCCAAATCAGCCTCCATTTAATGCCTGAGCTGCGACGACACACACTAACAAACACCAGAGCTCAGAATCAACAATCTGTACACATAACCCCTAGCAGCAAAACGGTCAACATCTCATACAACTGGAGATTAAAGATGGACTTACTGATTTAGAGCCAACACAGACATAATTAATACAACAGAGATACCATTGGCCTGATCCTGAGAGGTGCTGAGCACCTGGCAACTCCCCACTGGCTTCGATCGTAGCTGCAGGTGCTCAGTGCATCTCAAAAACAGGCTGCATATATGGATCTACTGAACACATGTCAAACTGGGAAATAATAATAAAAATGCAGGAGTTGGGACGGAAAACTCCTTCTATAAACTTGGACAGGCAGAAAATAAATTATTTCTGGCTGGAAAAAAATGATAAATAGTATTGATATGATTATTTTAGGTTGTGATCTATCATGGGAACCCAAGACTGTGTGTGGATTATGTGATTTTAGTATGGTCAAGGATGTCACCACAGGAAGCAACTCTGGATGAGAACATTAATTATTCAAAAATTAAAATCAACAAATGGCCGAAATATTGCAGGATATATTGGTTCAAGTGATTTGGCAAACATATTAAAAAAAAACTTTCAATTCAATTATAACTCAAAAACTGTCATGGCAATTTAGTTCTTGTTAATTGAACTAGGAGATTAATATTTGTGTTTACACTCTGAGATTGTCTTTATATCACTCAGACCTCTGGTTTATATTGTACTGTATCAATCTGCGTACATTAATATATTGAATATAAATGCAATGCATTATTTATTTAGGAAAAAAATAAAAAAATAAGAAAAAAATAACTCTTGTAGGAATCCTACAACATCAGAGAAGCTGAACAGGCTTAGAGTCAGAATGACTCACATTGGAAAAAAATAGGAAAAATCTCTCTGGTGTGATTTTATTGTTTTCAGCAGGAATGTATTTTTCAATAGATTCTGTCCTAACACTTGCTATTTAAAACTGAAGACTATACCAACATCTGAAAACGGTGGAGGTGATTTGAAAGCAACACTGGAGGGAAAAATTCACAGTAATTCCCAGAATGAACAGAGTAGTATTACAAATAAAGACATATATTTTATGTCCCTGATGGCTACATTGTTATTATAGATAAAGGTAAAACAGCAACACAAACATGCACCTGTCAATCAGCGAAATCAAATGTAAACGCATCAGTTTGCATTGCTGTTAAGCACCTGCTTACAACAAACAGCTGATCATTAGGGAAATGCCTCTTTTAGTGGCTTCATCCCTACCTCTAGAGGCCACTGTCCCACAGTTTATCAGGTGAGAGACCAGCAGTTAAAATTTTCTCTCTTCCTCGCTCTGACCAGCACCAGCCCAACTGAAGGAAGCCAGCCAGGAGTCCCAGCTTCTGCTCAGCAAGTAGAGGACAGTGGTGAGGTCACTAAAGGAAGCAGTCATGGAAGCACTGGGATTAAGAGGCTGAAAATCAAGGGGGATTTTTTGCTGCCCTCTTGTGATTCCATAGAATATCACAACTCAGAAGTAGGAAACCCTGCTTAAAGCCATGCTGCACCTTACAAACAACTAAACATCAAGCACAATTCAATAGTGTGTTAATAAGCATGTGGCCAATAGAGGAACTGCAGAAGTGGCTGGGGAAGGAGAGAGGGTACAGTGAAAAGACCACATATGTCTTACCTAACTTCAGCCTGGCATTGAGCATGTGAACTGGAGCTGCAGTGGCTGGGAAACTAACAGCACAGAGTTTACTCAACAGTTCTACTATTTTTGTGATTGAAAGAGTCACTGTGGGCTTGTCTACACATACATACATACTGCACTGCTGTAGTGCATCTGGTGAAAAACACTCTATTCGAACGGGAGAGAGCTCTCCTGTCGGCATAATAAAACCATCTCTGCAAGAGGCGGTAGCTATGTCGGTGGGAGAAGCTCTCCTGCCAACACAGCACTGTCCACACGAGCGCTTATGTCCGTGTAACTTATGTCACTCAGGGGGGCAGTTTATTCATCCCCCTGAAGTACATAAATTATGTCATCATAAGCTGTAGTATAGAGACAGCCCGTATGTATATTCTGTATGAAACAGGAAATGAGAGAAATCAAAACAAATGTTCATTCATGCTCTTGAATACAAGGGTGCTAAATGAATATTCAGTACAATGCTTCTTAGCAAATAAATATTTTAAAAGATCCATTTCCCTGGCTGATAACTGCTCTAAATAAAATTATAACACTTTGTTTAAAACAAAGACAAGATGTTTTAGTTATAAAACAAATAAAACCCAAAAGCCCTACACTTTTTTTTTTTTTAAATAAGTCCAAACTTTTATCAATATATACTTATGTCAAATGCCACCCAACTATGCAGAGGTAACAACACTAATGAGGTACGTAGTTTGAATAAAGGGATAGGATGACAAGACGGGCAAAGTGCCAGGCAGGTAGTGAAAGACAAGGGGGTAAGTGTTGGCTCTACAAGGACAGTGAGACAAATTCCCCTTTCTGCAACTGCAGATCATAAAGAAGAGGAACATCATGGATGGCTCGAGAGAAGCAGGATGTCTCTATGCCCAGTGTATCACTAAGCACTGCTCCACAGCCACTCTCTCATACATGGGTGGAGGGGGCAGGCCAGTGGTGTAGCCAGTGGATCCATGAAGTACACCACTCCTTTGGCCAAAAGCTCTGATTAGTAGGCATGTAGAAAGCTGTAACTATGACTACAGCCTGCAGGTTTCAATAATGACTTGGTGGCTGCTCTGAGTTCCGACTCTGTGATCCCTTCTCCTCCCGGCTAGTCATTTTCATATGGGTCCCCAGCACAATTCAGGTTTATTATGCAAGACAAGAATTTGGCTCAAAGGGAAGAAACCCAATGACTGCTGAACCTGTGATCTGGCTAGGCCAGCTGTAACAAGAGAACCCATGATCTGATGCCTAAGAGAAAGGAAGAGGGGAAAGAAAAACACCTCACTATATTTCCCTCACCCCAACAAATTTGCACTACTAACAACATAAGATGGACTGGAGCAAGGCTTGGTGCCAGCAATGGAGGGTTTATTTAATGCCATGGTGGCAGTCCAGCTGGAGGGTCTTTGGCAGAAAGAAGAGTTGAAAGGTGCAAGAACAGGGGGTAGAATGGCTTCTGCAGAGAGCAGGGTGGGGTATGATGACTTATCAGCTCCTGTAGCAACACCAGCTGGTGTGGATACTGCAGTTTATAAGCTCTGCCCTCGCTGCAAAGTCCTAATAGGGGATGCAGGCTCTATCCTAAGGACCAAAGGGTCACTAGCACAGAGCAGGCAACGAAGCTGGCATTCCTGCCATTCATTCAAGTCTGCACAAATCTAGCACCGCCCCAGTTCCTCAGCAGATGAAGGTCTATCACCTCAAAAGGCATGAGGAAATAAAACGAAATCACTCGGACATCACTGGGCTCATGGGAGATTTCCCATCATTCCTCTGTGCCTACCTTGGCTTGGACGGCATAGGAGGCCAGCAGCACAGATGCCTCAGGAGGACAGTAGATCTTCTCATCTAAAATCTGTTTCTTTACCTGAGCAAAGCAGCAAAGGAGATAGAACATTGCTTTAGTGGAGCTATGCAAGGCGCAACCATCACAGCGGATGGCTGCAGTTTGTTTTAACTAGGGCCAACCAGCCAGTTAAAGATTTTCCTCATACAGGGCACAATTCTGGCTGATGCAAACTCTGGCACTCTTCTGGGAACGGGCTCAGGTTTCCACAAGCCACTGTTTTCAGATGGATTCATGCAGGTGGCCGATTAGCCACTGGACCCACAGGCCCGGGGACCCCGGCTTCTGCCACCCGGCAGATGAAGCCCCTTTGACCCCCGACCAGGTCCCCAGCACAAGCCGCGGGATGGGGGAAGCCCCCCTAGAACACACCCCTACCCCGTCCCCGGCAGAAGCCATGGGATGGGGGAAGCCCCCCCAGCAGCCCCTGTCCCCAGCAGAAGCCATGGGATTGGGACCTCCCGACCCAGTCCCCAGCGACCCCCCGACCTCATCCCCTGCAGAAGCCCCTGGGAGGGGGAAGCCCCCCCAGCAACACCTGACCCTGTCCCTGGCAGAGGAAGCCCCCAGTGCCCCAACCCTGTCCCGGCAGAAGCTGCAGGCACCAGGGGAAGCCCCCCAATCTCGCTCTCCAGCAGAGGCACCGGGCGGGCAGGGCAGGAGAAACTCCAGCACCCCAACCCTGGTCCCCTGAAGAACCGCAGGGGTGGTGGGGGAAGCGGTGGTGTGGGGACCGAGCTTCTTCCGTCTTGGGGTCACCAGGGGATGGGGGTGACCAGAAAGGAGCAAATGGGCTGTGAGACTGGCGGGGGACCCCTGGATGGAAAAGGGGGGGGTCCCAGGGAAGGGGCAGAAAGGGGTGGGGCTGTGGGCGGGGCCGCAAATGGAAGGGGTGGGGAGAGGCCCCCCACTTGCTGTGGCCCAGGGAAACCTTAATCCACCTCTGGATTCATGAGAAGAACTTTAGTTCCACATGCAAAACTACTGAACAAAAAAGAAACCCATCCCTTTGCTAAAGATAAAATTTTATGTCTAATAAACACACACACAATTCAAAACGATGACTTGTACAGCATCTGCAGCTCCTTCCCTTTGAGCACATGAAGGATTTTTTATTACTATATACGGGACTAATTGTGATTGCTTTAGTGCTCAGTCAGTGCTGACCTACGAACCAGACTTTCACAAGGCCTATAGCTTGCTCATGTACTAGACTCCTATGATCCTCTATGGTCATGCTAAGAAGGGAAAATACAAGCTTGCTAAACTTAAGATATAGTGACCTTTTAACACAGTACTTGCTCGTTCACAAAAGCAGGACAATGTCTTAAAACACAACAGACAGGAATAAATAAAATATCAAAGTAATGAGTAGCCAAACAGTTGTCTGAGCGTGTGCTTGAAAATGTATGAAATGTACCAGACAAATATGTATTTTCATCCTTGATATGGAAAGAGGAACTAATGGGATTGTAACCAACCTTACTATAAATATTGGCAAGGGATAAGCAATTATCAGGACCAAGACAAGACTGCGATTAGTTTGTCATCGCTGTAGTGTTGCTTCTGCGGATTCTGGTAACCATGACTAATACCTATTTCCATCATGCACTGTTTTAATGTCTCATCTTTTAATTCATTAAATCACTGACTTATCCACATTTTTTTAAAATTCCTTCATACATTCAATCTGTATTAACGATTGGCTATTGATTAATAAATGGCTACTGGATACTGATTAATTATTGATAACTGGATTATTGGAAACTCTGATCTTCATCCAGGAGATGCCAACCACCCTCAAATTCCACTGACCATTATCAGAGTTGCGGGTCGCCTTGTGATAGTAATTTTAGTGGCACGCACAGTACTGCTCACACTCCCATGAGGGCCAAATTACAGCTACTGAGGACCACTACTTTGCATTTCCTGACTTTCATGTATGTTTGATTATTTTTATATTAAACACTAATTTTCCAAAGGAAAAAAGTTCATTTTATTTCAATGTGAGCTTTAAATGGATTGTCACACTGACACACAATCAGCTACAGTAACATTACTTTGCACTTATAGTGTGATTTGCATCTAAGTCCTTTCCTTACCAATCACAAAGGCTATATTTCTGCATTAACATAATCAGGCGAGTCTGCAGACTTATACATGTTCCTATGTCACAGATAGTGTTGGAGCACCACCACCCAACTATGTTTTTAAAAACCACCAGTAAAAAGTCACATGCTGCACTTGTGAGATGCAGTTTTCAACTGCTTTAACTCTTAAATTACATCAAAGGCACTTTTCCTCATCCAGGATTAAATCCGTGGCAAGTTTGCCATTTTAAAATACCTATGTGAGGTATCTGAGCAACAAAAAGGGCCTGAAAATTAACAGTAATACTTTGCTCCCTAGAGTAGAGGTACTCTGTAAGGGCACAGAGTACTTCATGAACATTAAGCCTCACAACAACCTATTGAGGTAGCTTTTATATCCATTTTACAGAGGGACAGAAACAGCACAGTGAGGTTTGAATCCTACATTTGCAAGTGTCCACTGATCTGGATGGCTTCAGTTTTCGGGCTAAATAGCCAAGCATCTACTAATTTTGGGTGCTTTAACTTGGGACACTGGAAAATCCAACCTCCTTCTTCAACCTGAGGCACCCAAAAAAGAAAAATCGGCAGACACTTGAAAGTTTAAGCCTAAATGACTTGTCCAAGGACAAACAGCTGGGAATAGAACCCAGGAATCCTACTGTAACCACTAGACATCATTGTAATTTTCCCAGTCCAATAAGTCTCTCACACATACACACAGGTCACCTTATGGGTGAGAATAAACCTGGAATGTTGCAGCCCAAAAGGTAGTTATTTCAGAAATCGTCCTTGCCTGAAAAATGGAAGTTCTGATGAAAGTGCCTCATTAACCTGAAGTAGAGAGCTGCCACTGCAACAGCATCAGCGCAGATTTCCCCAAAACAAAGTTGCATGGCATTTCCCTTCTCTCTAGAAATCTTTAAAGCTAAAGAGCCTGTTACTATAAATGTAGCCTAGTGGACAGCACAGTGGAGTGGCTCTCAAGAAATCTGGGTTCTATTCCCAGCTCTGGCCTGCTGAGTGGCCTTGGGCAACCCACTTCGGCTCTCTGTGCCTCAGTTTCCCTATCTGTAAAAAGACAGTGATAGTGACTCTGACATCCTTTGTCAAGCACTTTGAGATCTACTGATGAAAAGTGCTGCATAAGAGCTAGGTGTGGTTATCACAGTTTGCAAACTACAGCGTGTCAGTTTGAACATTTAGTTCTCCATCCCACTCCATCTTAGCCATCAGCTTCTGACTCCATTGGGCTTCTGGGATTTTCTTCTGCTCCAATTATTTGCGGCCTACTTTGGTGAAGAGGAGAGTTTTACAGTGTACCCTGAATATGGCAAGGGCTGGACTTGTCCTGCTCTCCTTCAGGAGGATGTACCTGTGTTTTATACTATAAAAATGCTAGCCATGCATTATAGACAGCTAGCATATCTTGATACAAGACATTTGCACTGGCTGCAAGGGTGTGACGCCTCCTGCACTTTGCTTAGCTCCTGAAACTGCCCCTCTCTCACACAGATACCCCCCTAGCAGGAGAGTATAACCTATTAATATGGCTAGTCACCTCATTGCTCCCAGATTTACAGACTGAGTATGTCGAATGCTGCTAGGTTTACACAAACCATCTTTTCTCTATTTTTACAACACCGTGTGCTTGTTGAAATGGCTCATTTCAGAGTGGGTTTGAACTTAAAGAAGAGAAGCCATGCTGGGATGGCCAGAGACAGTCAACATTAAGAAACACATCTACAGCCCTATCACCCACCACATTCCCCAGCCCTTGGGAAGGACAACCAATTGCTGAAGTGCATACCTGCAGAAAGAACAAGTGCTGTGTGATCTCCTGAACCAGCTCCTCCTCCGCATTCTCAGGGTAAAATTTAGCAAGGAAGTGAAAAGTGACCGGCTCCTCTGTTGGAACGTCATGATCCAGAACCTGCAGGATTTGACAATCAATCAGTGACTCCAACCTCCCCAACACCATTGTCTCTTACAACCTAGACACAGGTGCCAAACTTCTACTTCCCCTCAAACTGCAGTACCCCCTCTCCAGGTTTTCCAGTCACCTGGTCAACATGATGAAATCTGGGAAGTTCAGGAACCATTGCCCCACAGGCTTGTAAGAAGTTTGCAATTTCTACATATTTATAAAACAAACTCAAAGCAGAAACAAATCATCCTGCATGCCATGGGGTGCAATTTTTCATCAGGCAGAGGATTCATTTTTCTTCTTCCCTGCTGAGCACATACAGGGTTCTACCAACAAACAAATCTTTCTTCAAAAAATGCAGTTTCCTGCTACAAAGACAACTGGTGAACCCAGAATTTGCTTTCATATTTTTTCTTAGGCAGAGAGATACAATCCTAACTTCTGTTCACTGAACTAAATATCTTGTGTTTTGAAACACAGGCTCAACTGGACCCTTGTTTCAATACTGCTCAAGAAAGGTTCCTCTCAGACACCAGAACGAAGAATACCTGGGGGGTGGGAGGAGACGGCATACAGGATTATTCCCTATTGTACATTTCCTAGTGGTTTGCCCAGTTTAGTTTTAAATCATACAAGCAAAGGAAATGATGGTTCCATTAGAAGACTATTCAACAGCCGAGAGGATCACACTGTTGGGAAGTATTCCTTTCCTTAACTTCATCTCCCATATACGTTCACTATTGTCTCTCCTTCCTAGGCACTTCCATACCTCAAACACTGGCAGACTGTTAGTAAAGAAATGTCATACTTCAGCCTCACTTTTCCACTATTTGCATGGTATATTTTGGAAAGCTACCGTCTCTAAAGGGTCTGCCCTTCATGTACACACGGGGACTGTCCAAATAGGATATTAGATCCTATTTACATTACAATCATCTTAGGGGTATGGTTATAACATGGCTGTCCCTTGAAATAGCTAACACACCAGTTTTATAGCGTAGAAGGGACCTTGTATGTATAGTCTAAGGCTTTGTGATGGTTCAGGGATAGACTAAAGGTCCGACCTAACACTAACTGTGCTGGAGGACAATCATACTGTATTTGGATCTCCTGACTAATGTATCTATAGATCAGCCAAAGCCTAGTTCCGCTCCTGGTGCGCCCCCAGAATTCCCACTGATGCATCTCCAAGTTTCATGCATGGACAGCCAGGGAAAGATCTACCCTCCAACCCCACCACACACATCCCCTAAAAGGAAGGTCCTATTCCAACCTTCTTGTCCATTTTGAGCCAGGCCACGGTATCCTTGATCGTGTACTGAAGTCCAAAGAACCAGGTTTCTCGGAGTCCTAGTGTCCTGCACACCAAGTCAAACAAATCTTTCCCTTTCCACTTCACCTGCAGCAAGAGAGCAAACAGCAAATGGCATTTTAAAAATTGAATTATAGCCCCACCCCACACTTTTCCATTCAGCCACATCAAATTCACTTTCTCCTGCATGTGTGCTTGCCCTCCCCCACTAATCCCACTGTCATGCCTGGTAATGCAGATACAGCACTAGGAATGCCAATGTTATTCTATTGCAATCACATTGTACATTAAATCCCCCATAGAATGCAGACAGCAGATCGGCAATTTTACCCTGCACTGCATGGAAGGGTGGTTTTACTCTGGAAATAGACCACAAACATGACTTTATGGCAGTCCCATATTGAGCATGTCTCGGTGAAACCATATCAAATTGGTTCAGTTTAGAAGAAAGAAGTCAATTTCTCTTACTGCCAATGCACCAATCTCACCTGGGATCTGAAAAATCTGAGTTCTTTTTGATGCCGGCATCACCATCAGCAGTCAATATTCAGCATGCAAAATTCTGCCCTTAATTGCACATGTGCAACCTCAATGTCTTCAAATCCTGTTCCCAGCTATCCCTAGACTCACTTCAATATCTTCTATCGGGTTTCACAGATGAGACAGAGCAGATTCTGGCCCTGCAACTGGAACTTAAACAATTTCTAATGATGATGCACAAACAAGAGTAGACCATCTTATTCTCCCAGAGCCATTAGTTCTGCAGGACTGACAGGAATAAAAAGTAACAAAAGCATCATTTTTATCACTGAAGTCTGCAGCTCTGTTCTAGACACACAAGGAGCAGCTATGGTGTAACAAAGGGCTATTTTTACACAGAGTACAACCACACTTTACATTGGAGACATTTGGTAATAAAAAGTAACTGCTGGAGCTGAGAAAACTGGTCCAGACCACAAGCCATGACCTTCCAACAGTTCCACAGTTGCCTCGGCCTTGTTAAAGTTTGATTTAAAAAAATGAAAAAGTGTGTGTGGGGGGGGCGGGGGGGAAGGAAGGAAGATGAAGAGGGATATAAAACAGGAGATCCTATATTCCAAAGCCACTTTGCTTTTCCACTTGCATGGATGGAAACACTGCTGGACAGGGACATATGGCCATTTTTCCAAAGCTCTAGGGCAGAAGAATCTCAGCACACTTCCCTGTCACTTCTGCTCAATCTCAGTACCACCTGGACAGCTTCAATATTAATACTAAAGAACAGCAGAGACTGTGCTTCACCGTACCAGCTGCTGTCACACATTGCCACCTTGTGGGTAATGCAGTCAAGGAATATGTAGTCCCTTTCATTACTCCACAGCCGTTTTGAGTCAAAAGGAACAGATCAGAACTCCTTCCTCCACCCAACACATGCACAAATGTTACCAGAAAATTCTGAAGAACAGAAGAATGTAAATGCTCAAATAAAAACAAATCAAATGTCAGACAGCATCTCTGTGATTCACATAAGACACAATCTAAACAGTGAGGATGAAAGCACCCAGGGTTGATTTTCCAGTGTTGCCATTAGAATGTCCTAATTCCAGGGGTTCAAACGCACCCCCTGCAATGGGATACAACTGGGAGGGAGTTTTTTCTGGCCAGTTTTTTTCAAGGGGAGTTTAATCTGGGGTTTTAAGCAAAATACAGAGAGAGAAAAAAAGATCTAAGATGCTATTTTGCGCTTCTAAAATTCAGAACACAGATTTGGGTTGCCAACATTTTTAGCAAGAGGTTATTTCCTAACTAGGACTAAATTGCTTTGCGTAAAACAGTATAAGCAATTTTTTTTAAAAGGCCATCTTTATGGCTATTGTTTTAAAGGACCAATTAATGTTTACGTGCAGACATTTATTCACCATAGATGGAAAAGAAAGCGTTCTCAAATTCAGGTTACTGCGCATTGCCATTGGGAGGCTTTCAACCACAGATGCAATTTATACTCTATGGAATCAATGTTTTGAAACTCCAGCTGTGCTTTAGACTGCAATCTACACTGAGGCATCCCAGCTGGAGTTTAAACCAGCCTGCAGACTACAAATGATCTGCAGTTACATAACTTTATGCAAAAACCTATGTTAAAATTCTCAACTACAAACACTGAGTTAATTTAACACAAGTAACGAAATTCAAAGATTCTCTCCTCTCCAGAAAGAGGTCTATGGTTAGTTTAAAATATCAGCGATCAGCATTTAACTGAGATCTGTGTTTTCTCTCCACAAATGTAATTTCGCCCTTTGTGTATAAAGTGTTTTGAATGACTGTTTATGCTATTAAGTTTTAGGCCTTAACGCACACATGTAATGGCAGAGTTATGGTTGTTGTGGGAACCATACATTTTACTGTAGAGTTAAAATTCCAACCACATCATATTAGCATACTCCCCCACACACACACTTTAATTGAAAATAAAAGTTGAATAGGAATCCAGTTTATTTCAACATACATGACTGAATTCCTCACCTTTGTATTTATAATTAAGGCTACAATTTAATCATGGGTATTTTTACTAAAAAGTCATGGACAGGTCACAGGCAAGAAACAAAAAAATCACAGCCCGCGACCTGACCATAAATATCCCTGACTGAATCTTAGGGGCGGGGGCACCAACAGCCCTGGGGGGTGGTCCCAGGGACCAACTGTCCAGGACCGCCAGAGCAGCAACCAGTGCAGCTGGCCTGGGGCCACTCCAGCAGCAGCTGGTGTGGCTGGCTGCGGGGCCCCCGGAGAGGCTGACTGCAGAGCCGCTTCAGCAGGAGCCCGTGTGGCTGTTCCCAGGACCACCCAAGCAGCTGGCCGTGGGGTCAGCCACACTGGCCGCTGCAGAAGTCACTGAGGTTGCAGGAAGTCATGGAATCTGTGACTTCCTGCAACCTCCATGACAAACACTGTGCCCTACTTATAACACTTTGCATTTAGACAGCATAAACTCCAAGTGTTTTACAGACATTCCTAATCTAAACACCCAGCACCCTATTAGATAGGCAAGTATCAGTAACCCCCATTTTACAAGCAAAGAACATAAAAAGACACAGAGAGGCGAAATGACTTGTCCTGGTTACACAGAGAGCCTGTGACACAGTCAGGAATAAAACTCAAGACTTCTTGACTCTCTGACCTGTGCTTTACAACACCATCCCCCCCACTTATATTAATCATGGGACATTTTAGCATAAAGGATCATCTTTTAGAAAGTTCTGAGTGCCTGCAAGCAAGGTTTATAATGAACATTCTCCACCTCAGCCATGAACTAGAATGGTTGCTGTAATAAAAGCTAAATCCCCAAATGAAAACTACGTTAGATGAGTGACCTTAAACTAACAGCAATGGCTCTGCTCCTGTCCAGGCACAACAGGGTTTGGGGCCACCATGCTCCTTCAATGTCACTGTTGAGCCAGAGCCTTCAAAAAGAACGAACGATCTTGCATTTGTGGTCTCATATTATCCCATTGACTTTATCTTCACATGATTTGTTAGCTATATTTGCGAGTCTTGGGGGAAATGTGGATGAACTACTCTATAAACAGGGCTAAGTGCTGCAAAGCTATTATTTTGTGGGGCTGGAATTTATTTTCTTTACTAAGTGCAGAGTGCTTGTAATTTATCAGCACAGACTGTGTTAAGTAAACAGCACTAAGCACTTAAAAACTCAGCAGTTGGTTGCTAGAATACGGCACTTCCAGCATGCCACTTCCAGCATCGGTTATTCACATGATCAGATTTGGGATCTATTAATGGGGGTACGTTACCTATTAACCTGCACCAGGAGTCATATGCAATTGGCAGGCAGCCAAAGCATCACTCTGATAATACCAACATAAATTGTATTGCATCCTTACTATAAGTGTCACAACTGCTTCTTAGGTAATTACAGCCTACATAGCAGCTGCAAATGTGAGCAGAGAGGGTGGTTGAGCTTCCATAAATACTGCAGGGTAAATGGTAGGGAGGCCACATTTTAGTGAAAACACACACAAGGAGAGGAACCAGTTGCTGTGAGAGAAAGTTCATGTATGGATCTACTCTGCAAAATGATAATAAGGCAGGCACTGTGCTGTTCCATGTTTTTTGTTTCAATGACTCCAGATCAAATTCACTCAATTCACAAAGAAAAATGGGTTTTCTAACTACTAGCCCTGCAAACTCTGCCATCCGAGAGTCAAGCTGAGTTCTTACCTTCTGGAGCTTCATTAGGAAAACAGTTCTGCAGGCCAAATTCGGCTCTCAGTCACACTTGTGCAACACCACTGTCACCACTGGGATTGCACAGGTTTAACCAAGAGCACAACTGGAATATAACTGATGATACATGAGCCACAACAGAATCCAGCTTGCTCTCTTGTAGCTGTGTTGGCTCAGTAGAGTGAACAGGAGTCAAATATTACTTTTGTGACTAAAGTAAGCAGGTATGGCCCCAAATATGAAACAGGGATAAGACCTGTTATATAAGAAGGAACTATTTATTCAGTCACTTGTGAGAATCAAATTCTAGGGGTCAAACAGTCAGTTGAAAGTGTGACTTTGAAGAGATTATTCGAGTCTGTAGAACAAACATTTGTTTGTACTACTTTACTTAGTGACTAATGCAGAAAATGGATCCTCAGTCAAGCAGGTCACTTTATTATTTATTTACGCACCGAGATTCTACTGAGCCCCGTACCTTTCCTAAAGGACACAGTCCTGGCCCGGTGCGCGTACAATCTAAAAAGACAAAGATCAGACACAGAGGAGTGAAACAGAGTCCGAGAGAATAGCACTAACTCTTAACATGACACACTTGTGTTTATTGGTCTCGCGGATCAAATGAGCTTTGAGGACGGATTTGAATGAAAAAAAGATGGGCACCTATCATGCTGGAATAAGGAGGATGATCCAGGTGTAGGGAGCCGAATAAAATAGAAGTGACAAGGGGAGGGGAGAGTAAGCAGGTTTCACTAGCAAAACTGAAAGTAATGGGAATGGGTGGAGTAAGTAGGTTGAAGTGGAGAAAAATTAGACTGGCTGAATATTGCTAGTTGTGCTTTTTAAAACAGCAAGGTGCATCAAAT